CATTTATAGTGAAAGATTATTTCAAAGTTCTTCCATCATAGACTAGAGCCAGTGGTTCTCAACCTTCTGGCCCTTTAAATACAGTTCCTCATGTTGTGACCCAATCATAAAATTATTTTCGTTGCTACTTCATAACTGTAATGTTGCTACTGTTATGAATCGTAATGTAAATATCTGATATGCAGCATGGTCTTAGGCGACTCCTGTGAAAGGGTCGTTCAACCGCCAAAGGGGTCGCGACCCACAGGTTAAGAACCGCTGGACTAGACATATCACTTTCTTAAAGACCAATTGCTCCACCTACTGGAACCAATGGGAATACCATACCCACCAAGTATTTAAAAGAGATTCCCAGCAGGAGCTATACCTTCTCTAGGGGGTCTCTTGGAAATTAGTGGAAATATATTTTGGTTATTACAAAGAATAGGGATTTTATTGGCTTTCATTAGGTAGGGTCAGGAATGCATGAAGTCCTCATCAACAAAATATTGCTCCACTTCCAAGGGGGAAAACCCACTTGTATTTATTTATCTGAGCTTGAAACTTAACATCATTTTACATATAAAAACAAAATGTTTACAGTTTTACTACTCAATGAATTTTCCAGGAAGAAAATTATGGCATTTCACCTAATTTCACCAGTTGTAAAATATAGTATTATTTCAATATCACCAAGAAGGAAAAAACAAACAAACATTGCCAATTGATGCAATGGCCCTGGCCAAGGTGGCTCTGTTGGTAGGATGTCGTTCTGTGCACCAAAGGTTGCCAGTTTGATTTCCGCTCAGGGCACATGCCTGGTTTCAGGCTGGACCTCCAGTAGGGGGCGTGTGGGAGGCAATCAATCTATGTATCTCTCTCACTGGGATGTTTCTCCCTCCCTTTCTCTCTCTCCCACCCTCATCCCTCCCACTCTCTCTAGAATCAATGGAAAAAATATCCTCGGGTGAGGATTTTTTAAAAAAAGGCCTAAAATACACCTGTTTTCCCCTCTCAATCCTTGTTTCTCACTGGTCCTTCTCTTACTTAAAAGTGATCATAACCTAGGCTCACCATCATCTACAATGAAGAGTTATATAAAATCACAATCACTTTTCTACTGTGATTTTCAGACAATTAAAATTAGAAAAAAACTATTTTTCATTTTCTGTATAAAGTCAATCAAATAGTCCATATCACAGCTTTTCCAGTGATAGAAGGACAATATGAGAAGGAAGGATTTCTCCAAAATGTCTCAATACTATTTGGGGAAATTACACTCACCAGAGTCCTGATTACATTTACATGTACCATCTATCACTGGAGTTTTTCCTAACATTACCAGTTAGTGCATTAATTTTCCCAGTAAGCAGAAATAGAGAAAATAACAGGATAACATTATGTAGACAACATAATGGTGACTTTGACAAATAAAGACGTCTTCTAGGACTGGTCACAGCCTGGCACTGTCTTCTGCTTAAAAATAGAAGGCATATTAGAGTAAAAAAGTTTCCACTTCAGGCCAAATTAAATTATTCCAGTTCCAAGACTGAGAATAATTTCATGGCAATTAGAAGTGGGCCTTGTGGAAAATTCCATTATTCATTCCTTTTTTAAAAATATGTTTTTATTGATTTTAGAGAGACAGGAAGAGAGAGGGAGAGATAGAAACATCAATGAGAAACATTGATTGGCTGCCTCCTGCATGGCCCCTGCTGGGGAAATTACACTTACACCCTGGGCATGTGCTCTGACTGGAAATCAAACCTGCTACATCTCGGTGCACCAGACGATGAACTGAGTCACACCAGCTGTGCTCCATTATTCATTCTTATCTATACAAAAGTAATTTCAGCCATGCATCACAGGATCTATATCCATTTCTTGCAGAGAGAAATGAAGTTAAGGCCTGGAATCATTACCTTGGCTTGTTCAGGGAGCATTAAAGAATCGGAAATACAGTGTTGGTAGTTTGAGGCTTTGCTATGTAAACTCACCTAAATATGTCGGTCCATCCAGAGCTTGTCATACAGTGTGACCACACAAATGTAAATTATTTGCAAAACAAAACTGTTTTTTCCTATTGTTTTTTTTTTAATGCTTCCATAGTCTCTGATGCATATATACTAGGACTTTCTTCCTGGAGATAGAGAAGCCCTCTGGTTTCCTGGTGGCTGGCAGGGAGGAAATCTGAATGCCCCTTACCTCTACAAGCACCAAGCTGCAGGCAGGAGAAACTGTATTCTATTCTGTAGGGAGCAGCTATAGGGTTAAGCCTCTGGACTGAACCGGTTGGCACAGCCACAAACAAGTCCCAGCTTAGGGGGCAAAGCCCTCTTAGCATAATTAATCTTGACCTTCTGAGGCTCCCTAGATCTTATCTGGGTAGCTAATGGGCTGTGGGAGGTGCGGCAAGTGCTGCCAAAACAAGTGAAGCTCACAAGAACATTGTAACTATGGTGACCACTACCTTGTTTACCTCTGGCCATAAAATAAAGGCTCAGCTTGCTGTCTGGGTCTCTCTCTGTGGCCTCAGCCAGGCACAGGAGATCCACCTAGAGTCCTAGACCCGGCTTATTCTCTTTGTCTTTCGCGGCCCCCCTTCAGGCTCACCCAACCCTTGACTGAGCTGGCACGGCACACTATTCATTTGTTCCTTTATTAAAATTCTAATAACCTATGCAACGCTGTGCAGTGTGCTAGGCACTAGGTAAACAGTGGTAAACAAAAACCTAAGTTCCTGAGGTCTTCTTAACACATTGCGTACTGCATAGAAATCTCTAAGACATACGCCAGGGACCGCACGTTTTTGGGCAAACTGCACGTTATTTAAATCATCATAATGCACTTTAGGTGTTGTTTTTCAATAATTATAACATTTCTATTTACAAAAACAATTAAACAATTAAAGTTCCTAGTACTTTTTTAACGTATGGTACTGCGTAAAACATTTTCCTCTATGAAGAGGGACCAAACAAAATTTACATAAGTATCTTGATTCGCTCCTTTTTCCATGGGCGTGAAAAACGAGAACACTCCTGAGCGGTATGAAATGTGTTAAAAATGTTTTGTGGTAGATTTTGGCTTTAAATTTGTCTTTCTGTATATTGCATAAGTAAATTTCTGGTCTCGGTAACCAAAAAGAAACTCAAAATATGATAAATCAAGTTGTTGGGCAGGACCTCACAGGGTGAAGGGGTTGCTACTAGGAAAAACTGGAGGCACACATAGATGCAATACACAATCTCAACTCAAGGAGTATTCATCTCATATTACTTCTGTAACAATTACCACAAACTTAATAACTTAAACCGGCACAAAGTAATTATCCTACAGTGCTGGAGGTTAGGCATCATAAAATCAAGGTACCGCAGAGCTGCTTTCTTTTGCAGGCTCTTTGGGAGAATCTGTTTCCTTACCTTTCCAGCTTCTATCTAGAGGCTGCATTTTATTCTTGGATCCTGGTTCCTTCCTCCATCTTCAGAGCCAGCAGCATAGTATTTTCAAATCTCTCCCTTCTCTCTCTCTCTCTCTCTCTCTCTCTCTCTCTCTCTCTCTCTCTCACCTTTGCTTTGGTCATCATCTGTTCTCAGACTGACACTCTTACCTCCTTTTTATATGGACACAGGGTCCACCCAGATAATCCACGATAATCATCCATCTCCAGACCCTTAAGCTAATCATATCTGCAAAGTCGCTTTACCAGGTAGAAAACACATTCATGGGCTCTAAAGATTAGCAGTTGGAAATCTCTGGGAGCCATTACTCAGCCTACCATAGAAAGCAAAGAAAATAGGAAAAAAGTGTTCGGCCCTGACCGGTTTGGCTCAGTGCATAGAGCGCCGGCCTGCGGACTGAAAGGTCCCAGGTTCGATTCCGGTCAAGGGCATGTACCTTGGTTGTGGGCACATCCACAGGAGGGAGTGTGCAGGAGGCAGCTGATCGATGTTTCTCTCTCATCGATGTTTCTAACTCTCTATCCCTCTCCCTTCCTCTCTGTAAAAAATCAATAAAATATATTTTAAAAAAGTGTTTGCCTCTTTTACACTTCAACTAACTGCATGTTGGCATTCTGAAAGTTTGTTTTCTACTTTAAGACCATTTTGGTTATCCATTTTAACTGGCTTTTCTTCCTAAAATGGTGGCAGGTGGTCTTTCTCTGAGGCCTTGGGAATCTCTAACACTGGTTTTCCTCACAAGTCAACAATCTGAAAATAAAACCACCAGAGACAATGGCATAAAACTCTTAAAGGAACTCTATGAGCTGACTGCCATGATTACACACTTCATTACAGCCAAACGGTCTTATCTTCTTGCAGAACTAAATTTGTGAACAGATTAGTCATTTATGGGGCTGGAAATAGCTTTTCTATTTTCTACAGTGAGGGGCCATTGAGCAAGACTTAGCAAACTGATCCTGGCTTAATTCTTGCAGACATTACGCAGCACAAGTTCTTCGATGCAGATTATACATTTAGGATGAGCAAGGAGTCATATGCATCACCGAGTGGCCTGTGCTCCCAGTGATGTTACAGGCGGGTATTGATATTTTCATGTCACTTCTCCTTTGAGAAAAGGGAAACAATCTGCGATTCAACCTGGTTTAAAAATACAGAGAAGATTTTTGCTTTCGGACATGATGGAGTAACAGGGAACAGACTTACCTTCCTGCCTAAGAAATACCGAAAACCAGAGAAACGTGTGTTTATACAAAGTATGCAGTGCAGCACTGTGGCCCCTACAATTACCCCAGCGTATGTGCTGGAGGCAGGTTCCAGGTGCATTGTGGGGAGGGCCCTCAGCGCCGTCGGTCTCCGAGTCCCTGGTACATTTATTTACGTGTAAGTCAATTTATCGCGCCAACCGATACACTTCCTGTCAGTGAGACGGGGAACGCGCTCGCACCTGGCAACAGCCGCACCAATCACAGGCGCAGCGAAGTCGCGCGGTGAGCTCCGCCGCTGTGACGTCACCCTCACGGAGACCCTCGCGAGACGAGACCGGAGAGTGGGCGGCGCTAGACTCCGCTTCACACCGCCCGCGGCTTCTGTGAGGAAAGCGGTTGCTAGTTTACGGTTGGTCTGGCTGCTACGACCACCACCATGAGCGGCCTGGATGGGGCCGAGGGGGCTCCTCTCCTCCAGCCCTGCAGCCCCGATGCTCCCGACGGTGCCACCGGACCCGCCGACCCACACCAGGGCCCGAAGCTCCGTGAGGAAACCGAGGCGGCACAGGTGATGGCGGAGTCGGGGGAGGGAAGCTTGGAGGCCGTCGCGCCCCCACGGGCCCAGCTTCCAGAGGAGGAGGGAGCCTCGCACGACCCTGCGGCCTGCGGCCATGCCCCCCAGTTCGGAGTCGGTGGGGGTCGCAGTTTCGGGGCGCCTGAAGCGGAGCTAGAACAGGCCCCGCCCCCCGCCGGGGCCCCGGTGGCCGAGTCTGTGGCCATGGCAACCGACCGCGGCCTGAACAATAGCTGTCGGCCTGGGGAGCTGCGCGGCGCCGGCGCCGAGAGGCCGGGGGCTGAAGTGGTGGCCGAGGCGAAGGCCGCGGATGAGGCGATGGTGGAAAAGGAAGGAAAGGAGGAGGAGAGAGTAATGGAGCAGGAGGTGGAGGTGGAGGAGAAGCCAGTAGGCGAAGAAGTAGAAATGGCGGAGGCAAACAGAGCGGTGGCGGAGGCAAACAGAGCGGTGGCGGAGGTGATGGAGGGACCACGGCGCCGGCCCCTGAACGTGAATTTCCGCGTGAACCTCCGCATGAACCCCCTGGAGGCCATCCAGCAGGAACTGGACACGGTGAATGCCCAGGCTGACCGGGCCTTCCAGCAGCTGGAGCAGAAGTTCGGGCGGATGCGCCGGCACTACCTGGAGCGCCGGAACTACATCATTCAGAATATCCCGGGCTTCTGGGTCACCGCCTTCCGGAACCACCCCCAGTTGTCCCCCATGATCAGGGGCCAGGATGCCGAGATGTTAAGATACGTCACCCATTTGGAAGTGAAGGAATTCAGACACCCGAGAACTGGCTGCAAGTTCAAGTTCTTCTTCCGAAGAAACCCCTTCTTCAGAAACAAGCTGATCGTCAAGGAGTACGAGGTCAGAGCTTCCGGCCGCGTAGTATCTCTCTCCACTCCCATCGTGTGGCGTCGGGGTCACGAACCCCAGTCCTTCATTCGCAGAAACCAGGACGTCGTCTGCAATTTCTTCACCTGGTTTTCAGACCACAGCCTTCCAGAGTCTGACAAGATTGCCGAGATCATCAAAGAGGACCTGTGGCCAAACCCGCTGCAGTACTACCTGCTGCGGGAAGGAGTCCGTAGAGCCAGACGGCGCCCGCTAAGGGAACCAGTGGAGATCCCCAGGCCGTTTGGGTTCCAGTCTGGTTAAAGTTTGTCCTTGGGACTACCTCTGCACAAGGTCCCCTGACTGCTTGCTGAAATCTGTGCTTTGAGCAACGGAAAAGGGTATACCTTCTACTGTTTTTTCCCCTGACATTTCTAAGACCTTTTTCCTCTGGACATTTGTTTATTCAACCTCAAGATTGAGACCTTCATGGCCATGCTTCTCCACTTCTACACAGCCTGACTTTTCCACTGATATGCAACCTTCATGCTGTTCTGCATTACTGTCACATTCTGCAAGGCCATGACTCACACTACTGCTGAGCCAAGTAAATATGCTGTAAATTTCACTGCCTTTTTCTGCACTGTTTGGACTCTTTGTTTCCAGGGCCTCTGGTGTGGTGGTTCTTACCACCTGGGATTCTAGCTTTGTCTAGAGGCCTGTTCTACCCACTCTGCTCTGCAGGGCAGGCATATAGCCTGTGGACTTTTGCAGAAAATAAAGCAACCAGAGACACTGGAGAGCAGCAGTGGGCCACTTGGTCTTTGTGACTTATGTGACTCCATTGCTCCCCTTGCACCTCTGGTTGTGCCCACTCCTGTTAGCCTGCTGCCTACTCGATGAACATCTTCCAGACCATTGTCAGCTCCTCTGATTTCTGGTGAACCAGAATCTCCAGAACTGGTGGTGGACATAAGTTTCCTGCTAGCACAAATTTCCTTTCCAGCCTTTCCATTCCTCTACCCAAAAGGCATCTTAGTTCCTCACCCCCTCTTCCCTTGATCCCCATCACCCAATAGCCCTACTTCAGGGAAGTGGTTGAGGTGACAGTTTAGATCTTGTCCTCATGACAAGTATAAGGATGGTGTCCAGGCTTTCTCAGCACCAACTAGTGAATTCACACAAAACTTAGGTACCTCTTTGTACCTTCTTTCCTCATCCTGAAGTAATTGTCAGGATAGCAGTACACTTTCTCTCTGTGTGTCCCTTATCTCAAAGAAAAACAAAGCTTAGAAACATCTGCAAAAGCCAGATCTTTTAGTTAATTTGGCTCTCCATGATTTCCAGGGACACTTCGACTGGTTGCCTCCTCACATGTCCTGACTGACCAGGGCCGGGAATGAATCTGCAATCCAGGTATGTTTTCTTGACTGGGGATTGAACCCACAACCCTTTGGTGTAGTGGGTCAGTGCTCTAATCACTGCACACACTGGCCAGGATTTTTTTATGTTAATCCTCACCCAACGATAATTTTTCCATTGATTTTTAGAGAGAGTGGGAGGGAGGAAGAGGGGTGTGAAAGAAACATCCATGAGAGAGACATCGATTGGTTGCCTCCTGCACACACCCCAACCAGGGCAGGCATCAAACCTGCAACGGAGGTGCATGCCCTTGACCTTGACCAGGAATCAAATTGACAACACTTCAGTGCTTGGGCCAACGCTCTCATCACTGAACCACACTGGCAAGGGTGAGAAGAGTTATTTAAAGAAATACAACTTTGGGTATTTTCTCGTTTTCATTTGACTTAATTTATGTAGATTAATACTGTGTCCTTTACTTCACTAATACTTAGTAAAAGCCTGTTATTTTCTGTTTCTGCTTACTAGGAAAATTGAGTTATACAAGCTTTCTTTGCTTTTGTTTGGGAACATTTAGAAAAATAACAATCTTTCCAGTACAGTACGATGTAGAGACTGAAATGAATATTCCTAATGGTTTTCAACTTGTTCTTGTTTCTGTCAAAACTGCATTCTTAGAAATATAAATAACTTGATCTTGTCAGATTATTAAGACTTTGGAAATTATTGTCTTCATGGAAAAATAACCTGCAAAAACAGTGTGGCTTGATTGTCTTGCTTGATAATTTGCACTGGTAACAACTTATTAACAATTTAGCTTAAGTACTTGGGAGATTGCTCTGTCATTGGAAGTGTACCATTAACATATATGCATGATGGAAAATAAAAGTATGTTTCTCTGTTAAGAGTTCCTATTTTTCACCCTGTCAACAAACATGCTTGAAGAAATTATTAGAGATAACAGATTATGGAATTTAATAAAGCTCTTAAATGAATACAACAGGCATTATCCAAAAGTAAATAAAATATGGCACACTACTACACCTTGAAAGGTAGGAAGGGATGTTCCTTTTGTTTACTTTAAAATGTCAACAATTGCAACTGCTTATTCATGATGTCAGTTTTTCCCCATACACTTTGTGCAGCACCCCTACTCCACTCCAACCTTCACTTAAAGCTTCCATTTTTGTCTATATAGATAATAGTTTCAGGTCATTCAGGCTAGTTTTAGTCATTTGTGCATTTAATAAGCACACATTCAGAGAATTCTTATCATAAGTGATATACTCTTCTATCCCATACTTTCTCAGCTGTAGAAATTTGTTTGTTCTTCAAACCTCACCACCTTCTATCTCTGTCAGATCTTTCAAGGCCTGTCAAAAATAACTCTTCTGTTTTACACTTTTTCTGTTCCCCTTAGGGAAGATGGAACTCTTTTTTATGTACTTGGTGTACTTTGTAGGAGTCTCTGTTCTAGAAAATAACACAGTAATTCATTTTATTGAATTCCATGAACATTTGTTAAGGCACCTGTCAGGCCCCAGGAAGATAACAAGTGTAAGAAGAGAGAATGCATTCCATTTATTGTTAAAGAACTGGGGAAAGACTGATATGGAAACAAATAATTGGCAGAGTGACAAAGATTTATTTCCATGTCTTTCACTGTCCCTTTCTGGTTTGGAAGTTTTGTGAAAGCAGAGATGGAAAAGGATGTTTTTACCTTTGTCACTGCATCTAGCTGAATGTACATAGTTGTCACCAGATAAATACTGGATGACAAAATAACAAATGGAGAAAAGAAACAACCTAGTACCCAACCAAGCATGTCAAACGAGGCTGGCAGGCCGCATGTGGCCCACAAGGAATACTTCTGTGGCCCAGCCAATATAATGGTATGTAAGGAATGTTTTAATAAAAGTTTGTTAATTTATACAATATCCTGTTATGCATAATTATTAATAACGAACTACAACGTTCACTAATGACTGACTACTCTAATCCTGTTACATACTTTTCCCGTATGCCATTTCTCTCCACTAATACTAGCGAATATTTTAGCAGCTGATTGCCACGTCATTTGTCTTGCACTGACTTATGGTGTGTGCAACAGGAAATATTTCGCTTTCAGAGAACAAGAAAAATAGGTTTATTTGTGTTATACTTATTTGTGTAGTTATTCAGTGTCTGGTAAGTTAATGTTCAAGAAAAATTTAATTTTTATTAAAATGTTCTATTGTTTTATGTTAACGATTACTCATTTATTTCAGCCCTTTGCATTCAGCTAAATAAAACTGTTTATTTAAATATCTAAATAAACCTGTGTTTCCATGAAAATTGAAGCTTTTGTTTTTTTGTGGTTCACATAAGCTTAAACCTTATTTACTTGGCTTGTGTTAGCCTTTGAGTTTGACATACTTGACCCAGAAAGACTTGATGAGGTAATGAAAAGAAGAAAATGGTTTTCAAGGTATTTGTAAAATTTATGTCAAAAAATTTACAAGGCCTTTATTAAATAAAAGCAAAAATTAGAAAAAATCCAAACACTAACATTTATTAACTTTTCACTTGCCATCTTAACAGAGCATCAACTTTGGATCAACTTTTATGTACTTTGTTTTTGTACATCTTAAGGTGACTATTCACCTGGAGATTGAAGGTTGTTACACTCTAGACATGTGCTGTCCAATACAGTAGCCACGAGCCATCAATGGCTATTGAGCACTTTAATTGTGGCTAGTCCAAATTGAGATCCGCTGTAAGTATAATATACACCCTGGATTTCATAGACGTGGTTTGGAAGAAATGTAAATTATCTTAAGTTTTTATGTTGATTGCATTTGAAATAATATTTTTGATACACTGGGTTAAGTAAAATGCATTATAAGTTAATTTCTCCATTTTTTAAATGTGGCTACTGGTAAAATTTTAAATTACATGGGACAGCATGGGTCTAGACTTCTTGAGTATCTCAAAGTATATAAAAATATCTAAAAATTAAACGTTATTCTTTCTCCCCATGAAATTTTTGTGACTTTAGGACAAGGCTTATCTAGTTTAAATTCAAGTTGGATAAATTATAACTAGAGGCCAGTGGGTAAAAAGGATAATGAAATGAAATGCCTTTTATAATCTTGTTCTAAGATATATCCAATACTTTGCAAAACGTACTGTGTAAAACTATTTTTCTGGATATAAGGTAGATCTGGGTGCCAAATTGGCACTGATGGTTATATTGGTTCAGTCTCTAGTGATATTTAGGACCTATAGCTTCATATTTTTCTAGAATAAAATACTGTGTACTTTTTGGCTTACAGATTTACATGAAGCTCAGAAAATAAAAGTAATTTCAGTCATTAACACATTGTATGTGGGCCGTTTTTGCTAATTTTTTGTGCAAATGGCAACGTTCAGTAAAATTATGATAACTTTAGTTTTACATATTTTTTTTCAATGAAACTTTTTGTGATTTACTATAAAATGTATACTGAATTATTTTTCTTAAATTTTAAACAGACAAATACTGGAAAACTCACTGGAAATTGTGTTTACCAGTCAATGTAAAACGTATAAATATGTTTCCCGTATACAATGTGTTAAATATATCATTTTGTGTATGTTACATGGGCTGCAAGTTTTAGCTGTTAGCCAGCAACAGAAAAAAAAAATCTGAATCTAGCATTATATCAAGTCAATGCAATGCTCACCACTTGAAGAAGCATATTTGATTGTTAAAAATTAGCGTGCTAATTGCTGCAACAGCAATTATTATTTTGTATTGGATACTATATTAAGGATTATATGGAATGTAGATATTGTCCTTGCTCTTTAAGAACTCTATCTCATTGGGGGAATATCACTCCTCGGATGTTTTCTCGAGCAAATCACATACTCCAACCAGTCACATGCACAAGAAAATGGGATTTATGTGGTCAAGAGGAGGACCATCCCCTCAGGGCCAACTTCTCTCTCCATGTTAATTTATAATTGAAGTGCCTAGACTGTATAGAAATAATAGATATAATCTTTATTAGTTAGTATTAATTATTAATTCCATGTTTGATTGAAGTGCTTTGTTTTGTCCTGAAGGGCCACCTTGATCCATTTCCTTTGACCTCAGAATTTGTTAAGACCCACCGAAGAATTTCCATCAGATCAAATTAGGAAAACAATGTCTACTTTTTGGCTTCATGTTCTCAGTACTTGCATTTAATGTAACTTTCTTGAGAACAGGCCAGGAAGAAACGGTTCTATTAAAAATGAAAAGGGGCCTCTGTTTTTCTCTCTAAAATCCATAAAGAAAACATATTTTTTGAAAAAAGTTAAAAAATAATGAAAACGGTCAGTTAAATAAGCTGCTAATTATTATAAATACCCAGATGTCTTTCTACTGGCCTGAAGAGACAGGGAAAACACACTAGCTTTAAGTTGGGATTAAATCACAGTTTTAGAATCTTTCCCCAAGTACATTAGGCAAAATAAATACTTCTCTGAGTCTCAGTTTCCTTGTTCACAATGCAGGGATAATAATATCTATTTTATAAGTTGATATTCTCCTAGGTTGTATTTGGAGAATGCGTTATAATGTTTTAAGATGATGATAACAAACGTGGGAGCTTTGCTATGTGCCAGGCACTGTGCTAAAAGATTCAAAGTACTAACATCCTATATAATAAAAGGCTAATATGCAAATTGACAAAACAGCGGAATGACCGGTTGCTATGATGCACACTGACCGCCAGGAGATGCCCTCTGGTGGTCACTGCGCTCCCACAGGGGGAGTGCCACTCAGCCAGAAGCTGGGTTCACGGTTGGTGAGCGCAGCAGCGGTGGCGGGAGCCTCTCCTGCCTCTGCAGCAGCGCTAAGGATTTCCGACTGATGGCTTAGGCCCGTTCCCCAAGCCATCTGTCAGATATCCGGAGGGCTCCTGGACTGCAAGAGGGCACAGGCCAGGCTGAGAGACAACCCCCCACCCCGAGTGCACAAATTTCATGCACCTGGCCTCTAGTCTATATATATATAAAAGGCTAATATGCAAAGTATCCCCTCAGGAGTTTCACCAGGAGACTGGGAGTTCGGTCGCTCGCTATGATGTGTGCTGACCACCAGGGGGCAGCGCAGAACATGGCGGGCGACCAGTGGCGGGGCATGGAGGGAGCAAGGAAAGGAGGAGGCGAGGAGGTGGGGAGGCAGGGAGGTGGGAACCTGATTGGCCCTGATCGCTGGCCAGGCCTAAGAACCCTACCCGTGCACGAATTTTGTGTATTGGGCCTCTAGTTGTTAATAAAGGTTAGAGTGTAAAAATGCCAACCACAATTCCTGGCATATAATATGTAATCAATATTTAACTCCCATTTACCTTCCTCTCATTTTTAATTTCTCATTTAATTTACGTTTAGATCAGTAGTCATTTAGCCTAATATTTTTCAAACCTGCCCATTATAAATAGCTGGGAGCTTTGATAAAATCCTGATGCCTAGGCTCTACTTCAAACCAACTAAATTAGACCCTAAGGTGCAAACAAGTTTGAGAATCATGGATAACCCTTCCTCCTCAAATGAGGGAATGCCCACTCTCCAGTTTTGTTACATTTACTCAGAAATTTACCACCTTATAACATCCAGCTAAGACAAAGTACCGGGAATATAGTAGGCTCTCAGCACATCTGCTCCATATAACCCATGTAGTCTTACAGAATAGAATTAGCTTGATTGTACAAAAGAGCTCTTTAGTAAGTACTTTCTATGAAAATTTACTTTCTTGCTGTCCCACAGTTTGCTTCTTTTTAAAAATCCTATATAATAAAAGCCTAATATGCTAAGTGTCTGGTCACCCGGTCGGCCGTTCAACCAATCAAAGCATAATATGCTAATGATATGGTAAGGCTGCTCAACTGCTCACTATGAT